TCTGTGAAATCAAAAGTTAGTTCTTTGGGGCTCAGTCAGTAGAGCATGTGACTCCTGATTTGGGGGCTGTGAGGTCAAGCCCCATCTTAGGTGTAGAGATTACTTAATAAAATCTTTAGGGGCACCTGGGTGGCTTAGTCAGTTGAGCGGCTGACTCTTGATTTTGGCTCAAGTCATGATCTCAGGGTCCTGGTGGGATCAAGCCCTGCATCAGGCTCTGCACTCAGCTGGGAGTCTGCTTGAAGATTCTTTCTCCCTCTGCCCCTCCCCTTGCTCGCTTGCTCTCTAAAATAAATAAATAAATCTTTAAAAAAGTAAAATTTTTTTTTTAAGATTTTATTTATTTATTTAAGAGAAAGGGAGAGCGAGCATGAGTTGAGGGCAGAGGCAGAGGGAGAAGCAGACCCCCGGTGAGCAGGTAGCCTGATACCAGGCTCGATCCCAGGACCCTAAGAGGCAGACATATACCGACTGAGCCACCCAGTTGGCCCCCAAAAGTAAAATCTTAAAAAAAAATTGGTTCTTTGAAAATAACAATAAAACTGATAAAAGAGGCAGTTTGATTCCCCTTTTCATATCTGTGTGCATTTCAAATTAATTTTGGGGGGGAGGGAGGAAAATAAATAAACTTCCTTTTTAATTTATTGAGTAGTCAAGGAACTCCAGTATAAAGTTGAATAGAAGTGATTAGATAGATTGCTGTCTTTATAGAAAATCCCAAAGAAAGTATGAAAAAAATCTATGAGGACTAATAATAGATTTTATTATACAAGATGAACACACAAAAATCTATTGTATTTCTATATATTAGTTGTGAACAATTGAGAATGGAAATTAAAAGCAATACTATTCATAATAGTAAAAAAATATGAAATATTTAGGGACAAATCTAATAAAAGATATGCAAGGCCTAGCATTTCTGAGAAAGAATTAGACCTAAATAAAAACAGACATATGCTGTTTTCACAGGTCAGAAGACTCAAAATTAAGTTCTCAATTCTCCCCAAATTGATCTATACCAGCAGGCTTTTTCCCCTAGTAGAATTTGACAGACTGATTCTAAGTTTTATATGGAAATGCAAAGGGAGAAAGCAGTGTGGATATAGACAGTTTTTAGGTTATGAGTGTTTGAGTGTGTCACACCAGAGAAAGAAGCCCAAGAAGAGGAAATGAGGGAAAAAGGAAGATGTGAGAGAAGTTGGGCATAGTTGAAAAAGAACAAAGTTGGAGAACTAAAAGTTTATGATTTCAAGAATTATCATAAAACCTCAGTAATAAAAAAAAGACCAAAAACCCTCAGTAATCAAGACATTGTAGTATCAGCATAAACATAGATAAATAGATCAAGAGAACAGACTAGAGAGTCCATAAATTCATACATATATGGTTAATTAATTTTCAATAATGGTACAATGCAACGCGATGGAGAAGGGATAGTCTTTTCAACAAATGGATTTAGAATAATTGTCTAAAAAAACCCCACAATATCTCAATCAATATCTGATATAATATACAAAGATTAAGACAAAATGAACCATAGACCTAAATGTAAAATTCCTAGAAGAATACATAGGAGAAAATGTTTGTGACCTTGGGTTAGTGAAAGTTTGCTTTGAAAGAAAGAAAACATTGATAAATTGGACTAAGGAGTTTTGTTCTTTGAAAGACACAATTAGTAGAAAAAGACAAGCCATAGAATGGGAAAAAATATTTGCAAATCGCTTATCTGATAAAAGTTGCAATCAAAATACATAAAAATACTCAAAACTCAATAATAAGAACCTAGACTAATAAGCTTTTAAAATATGGTCAAAATATTTGAACTCCAAAGAAGACATACCGAGTGCAAATAAACTTGTGGAAAGTTGCTCAAAATCATTAGTCATTATGAAACTGCAAATTAAAACCACAATGAGATACTATTGTATACCTTTTGGAATGGTTAAAATTAAAAAGACCGACAACATCAAGTGTTGATAAAGATATGGAGCAATTGCAAATCTCATATATGGCTTGTGGGAATATAAAATAGTATAACCACTTTTTAAAAAGTTTAATTTAACTAAATTCCAGTTAGTTAACATACAGTATAATATTATTTTCAGGTGTACAATATTGTCATTCCACACTTCCACAAAACACCCGGTGCTCCTCACAAGTGCACTCCTTATTCCCTTTCTCTATTTAACCCATCCTCCCACCCACCTCCCCTCTGGTAACCATCAGTTTGTTCTCTATAGTTAAGAGTCAGTTACTTGTTTGCCTCTCTTCCCCACTCCCAGCCATGTTCATTTGTTTTGTTTCTTAAATTCCACGTATGAGTGAAATCAAATGGTATTTGTCTTTCTCCGACTGATTTATATCCCTTAGCACACTACTCTCTAGCTCCAGCCACATTGTTACAAATACAAGATTTCATTCTTTTTTATGGCTGAGTAATATTCCATTGTATGTGTATACCACATCTTCTTTATCCATTCATCAGTTGATGGACATTTGGACTCTTTCCATAAATTCCAACAATTTGGCTATTGTTGATAATGCTGCTATAAATATAGGGGTGCATGTATCCCTTCAAATCAGTATTTTTGTATCCTTTGGATAAATACCTAGTAGTGCAGTTGCTGGGTCATAGGATAGTTCAATTTTTAACTTTTTGAGGAACCTCCATACTATTTTCCAGAGTGGCTGCACCAGCTTGCATTCCCACCAACAGTGTAAGAGTTTTCCTCTTTCTCAGCAACCTTGCCAACACCTGTTATTTCCTGTGTTCCTTCTTAATTTTAGCCATTCTGACAGGTGTGAGGTGATATCTCATTGTAGTTTTGATTTGTATTTCCCTGATAATGGTATTGGCACAAAAATAGACACATAGTTCAATGGAACAAAATAGAAAACCCAGAAATGAACCCACAACTATATGGTCAATTAATCTTCGACAAAGCAGGAAAGAATATCCAATAGAGAAAAGATAGTCTCTTCAAATAAATGGTGTTGGGAAAACTGGACAGCAACATGCAAAAGAATGAAACTGGATCCCTTTCATATACCATATACAAAAATAAATTAAAAATGGATGAAAGACCTCAATGTGAGACAGGAATCCATTAAAATCCTAGAGGAGAACACAGGTAGTAACCTCTTTGACATAAGTCTCCTGAGCTAAGGGAAACAAAAGCAAAAATAAGGTATTGGGACTTTATCAAAATAAAAAGCTTTTTTTAAAGACTTTATTTATTCATTTGACAGAGAGACAGCAAGAGAGGGAACACAAGCAGGGGGAGTGGGAGAGGGAGAAGCAGGCTTTCCGCCGAGCAGGGAGCCCGATGCGGAGCTTGATCCCAGGACCCGGGATCATGACCTGAGCCGAAGGCAGACACTTAAGGACTGAGCCACCTAGGCGCCCCAAAATAAAAAGCTCTGCACAGCAAAGGAAACAATCAAAAAAACTAAAAGGCAACCTACAGAATGGGAGAAGATCTTTGCAAATGACATCTGATAAAAGATTAGTATCCAAAATATATAAATAACTTATAAAACTCAACACCCTCCAAAAAATAATCCAGTTTAAAAATGGGCAGAAGACCTGAATATACATTTTTCCAAAGAAGACATCCAGATGGCCAACAGATTATAACCACTTTTTAAAAGTTTGGTAGTTTTGTTTTTTTTTAAAGATTTTATTTATTTGACAGAGAGAGACACAGCGAGAGAGGGAACACAAGCAGGGGGAGTGGGAGAGAGAGAAGCAGGCTTTCCGCTGAGCAGGGAGCCCGATGTGGGGCTCAATCCCAGGACCCTGGGATCATGACCTGAGCCGAAGGCAGATGCTTAACGACTGAGCCACGCAGGCGCCCCAAAAGTTTGGTAGTTTTTTAAAAATTGAACATTTATATACCATGTGACCCAGCCATTCCAACCTAAGTATTTATCCCAAAGAAGTGTTTATATAAATACGTCTATAAAATAAGTCATGAATAAATATACAAATATTCATAGCCAATTTAATTTTGGGGGGCAGAGGGTGAGGGAGTAAGAATCTTTTTTTAAAGATTTTATTTATTTGAAAGTAGATGCTGTATGATTCCACTTATATAGAATTATTTTAAAATGCAAAATAATCTATAGAGACAGAAAAAGCAGATTGGCAGTTGCCTAGAGATTGGGGTGGGGGGTAGGGAAGGGCATGTGGGAGGAATTGTAACTAAGCATAAGGAAACTTTTTGGGGTGATGGGTAAGTTCATTATGTTGATTGCAATGAGGTTTTCACAGGTGTTTATATATATCAAAACTTGTATGCTTAAAAACATATACAGCTTATTATGTGTCAGTTATACCTCAATAAAGGTGTTAAAAGCAAACACCAGGTTATTGTTGTTAGTTGTGGGGAATTGGAGCAGGAGTAAGTTTATTTGGAGAATGAGAAAGTACAAATATTTAGCACTCCTTAAACATAGGAAAAAACTTACTTGAATTAATTTCTTTTAACCTGACTGATTTTGTTGTATTCTGAGAGAACAGAACGCAGTATACCCTTAATTGTTTGGAGTTTATTGGATTGTTGTATTATTCAAGCTTCTGTTCATTGTCCTCGGGTTTCTATTGGCCAATAAATCCCCCTTCCGGAGCTGGAATTCAAACCAAACTATATTTCTTCATGTTAAAGCTATTTGATAAAAGTTTAGTTGAGAACAAATGAAAACTATTGACTGAAATTAGATATCAATATTAGCTATAGATTTTTATTTTTCTTTCTATCCCAATCACTCAATAGCACATGTGATTTATTTCTTAAAAGGCTTATTTAATTCTGATAGGAAAGTAAAAGGGACTAAATTGGAGGAAGTTATCCACAGAGTTAGGTGAAATTGTCATTTGAAATTAAAGTTACCTCAAACACAGTCAAAGATCATGAAAATAAAATGAGTTCAAAAAATGTAGCTTATCATTGAAGGTTAAAAAACAGTTGTAATCTGTAAACTTCTCATTGACGACCTACCTCTCTGGCTCGATAAAACTGTGCTTGCTCAATCCTAGAGATGACATTCTGTACTGCAAATGGGATCTCCAGCTGAGGGACCCCTGATTTATAAAGGGCTTTTCTGGACATGAGGGTGGAATCTTCAATTTCTTTTTCTGATTCAGATTCGCTGTCTATCCCACTTGGCATTTTGATAAATACTTTGAAAAGTTGAGTGATTTTCTTTTATTTCTTCTTTTTTTACGGAATATAGGCAAATGCTAATAAAGGTGTCCACAAGCAAGCTAGAAGAGGTCTTTCTGCTCCCAGAGGTTGTGGTTTACCCTAATTTGTTGCTAACCATGGTATTGCAGTCCTGGTGATGTCATAGTAGATCCATTGTGACATCAGTGACTCAAACATCTCTAGAGTGCTTACTATATGCAGAGAACCCAGGCATTCCATCTATATGCTGTGATGGTAGGGGGGCGGGAGGGTAGGAAATAGACAACAGGAACGCTAAAAGAAATAGAAGATATAGCCTTGCTTAAATAAGCTTATAATCTAGGTGTTAGAATTCAAGATCCAGTATATCAAATGTAACTCCTGATTCTTCTCTCTTCCTGAGGTTTTGCTTAAGAATTTTTAAACCTGTAATTGACTAGTTGTGTTACAAGGTCCTCAGCTGCCCCTCAACTTGTCCTAGACATGCAATAATTTGGAAACTATTATTTGGATGAAGATCACACTCTTTGCACTGCCTAGTTATTCATTTTTCCAAGGAACGTGACTGAAGAAGGTTTTGAAATTCCATAGCTGGCTGGAGAAATTGAAGGGAAAACTGGACGCTGCTTTGTTACTGAGAGGAGTACTCTGGGCAGCTACTTTGATTGCAGAGGAGGTGAAAGGATTTAAGACACTGGAGCAATTAAGGGACAGGGTAGTTTTGTTAGCTGTGTAGCATTTTTATTTATTAAAAAATATGAAACAGTACAGAAAGTAATATAACAGCCATGTGCCTATTACATAGAATGAACAAATATTAACATTTTGTCATATTTGCTTCAGAAATTTTTAAGATTTTTAAAAAAATTTATTCATTTGAGAGAGAGCATGCGCGAGAGCATGAGCACGAGCAGAGGGAAGGGTCAGAGGGAGAGGGAGGAACAGACTCCCTACTGAGCAGGGAAGCCCCATGCAGGGCTCAATCTCAGGACCCCGAGATGATGACCTGAGCCAAAGGCAGCGGCTTAACTGACTGAGCCATCCAGGCGCCCCTGCTTCAGAAATTTTTAAATAAAATAAAGCATTAGAGAGAAAGTTGGAGTCCCTTTTGGTGTTCTCCCTAGACTCCTTCCTTCTCCTCTGTCCCTTTACAGAGACAATGACAGTCATGAATTTGATGTATTTATGTCTAGTCTCTGTTTATACAGTTTTACTACAGGTGCATGTATTCACAAACTACATAATATCATCTTTTAGGTTTTTGACTTTATACAACTTCCTATGTTGAGTTCTTATTGTAAACTTAGTCCTATGTTGAGTCCTTGCTGTACACTTGTGAAGTTAAACAATTTATGTATTTGAGTCCTTCAGAGAATGGGAGACAGGGGAACATAAAGTAGTTGTCTTTTAAGAAATGAATCAATATAGAGAGAGCAAATTAAATATTCGCCCTTCTAATATCCCATTGTCTAAATTAACCCCTCCTCTGTGTTCCCAAAACACTTTGTAAACTTTCTATTATAGTACTTTTCTCATTGGAATGTAACTATTATTTGTCTCTGTCCATTAGTTGGTGAACTTCTCAAAACCAGAGGCTGTGTTTTAGGGGTTTTGTTTGTTTTAAACCTTTGACATATTCTTCCTCAGTTCCTCCTCAGAAATCTTCTAAAATTTGGATATTCATTATCGTTTCAGACTCAATTCCTATGGAAACTTAGTTCTAAGCCCCAGAATACTTTCTTTTATTGTTAATTGCGTCCCCTCACACCCAGTCACAAAAATTACTCCCTCCTTTTCTACAAATCACAATTAAGTCCATTCAAGGAAGTTAAAAATGTTTTCTGAAAGGACCACAATTAAGAATTATTTTGGTAAATGTTAAGTTTGATTAAAATATCCATCATTATCCAGCATTTCTTGAACTTATCAATTAATCTGTTTAAGTACTTTGTTGATAATATTAGATTGTGAGATGCTTAAATCACTTTCTCTTGATTTTTTTTTTACATTGCTTATCCCAGTAGGCATTCACAAAACAGTCTGCATGCTTGTCAAATAAACTAATTTAGCATTATTGTGCTCTCTCCCTCTCTCATATTTTTTATGCAGCATGGGATTCATCAGCAACTGGAAATGAAGGCTTTTTAAAGCAAAATTTAAAAGCTCCCTCCTTACCTTTCAATTTGGCAAGCATTTGTCAAGTGATACTACAACTATGTGGCCACCATTATCTTAGAATGTGAAGAATATACTATAGGGCACCAGTGAAGAAACTAAAAAACGAAAAAAAAAAGAAAATAATTTAAGATAGACTATTCAAGTGCTAATAAGGGACATGAAGAAGAAATCTGTGGGGAGCAGTGTCTTTGGGAAAACCCTATGGAGAGAGAAGGTTGATTGACAAATGAAGGCATTCCAGATAGTGAAGAGACCTTGAACCATGGCTTTGGAGGTGAGTGTTGAGTTTTGTCTTTCAGGGGAAAGGTGAGGAGACTGGTTTAACTGAGATGAAGTAATGTTGTCTACTGTAGATCAGATTAGGGAGAGGATGGAACACAAATATCAGGAATTTGATGGAGAAATTAATTTGATATTCAAGTAAAATGAGTAGATTCATTAGAGATAAAGTAAGGGAGATTACATGGGATCAGAATGGTAAGGTCTTGAAAGCAAGAAACAGTTTGGTGAAAATGAAACCTTTAATTTAGAAAGATTTTTGAAATAATAGAATGGTAAAAATCAGTGGAAAAGATCAAGACATAATTATTTCAAAAGATAAGTGTCTGAACTAGGATATAGCAGTGGGACTGATAGGGAAGGATAAAGCTTACTAGGTATTGCTGAAGATAATAAGGAATTTGGATCATCTAACAGAAAAGTATAAAGACCATTTTTAAAATTTTGTTTTTATTGTACTTCATTTGAAGTGACAGTGACAACATCAACGATGAGGCTAACCATATTAAGTAGCTTAGATGTGGGTCCCGGATTTAAGTGAACACAGGGCAAAGTTCTTTAAAGGCGTTTTAAAGGGAAACCCGCACTTCTAGAGAGCTCCTTCAACTGTAAAATGAGGATAATATGTATTGCATGCGGTTTTTAAAAGATTAATTCTCATAAAATACTTAGAATAATGCCAGGCACATAGTAAGCATTCAATATACAGCAGCTGCTATTAATATATTTACTATAACTGCTACTCGCTTTTTTTCTTCTCTACTTTTCTTCTCCGAGCCGCCAAATTTTCGGAAGGATTGGGCGTCTGTCCAGTACACTTCACACAAGCTCGGCTTTTCATCAGATCTAGATTTTGAACTATGAAAACTGCGTAATTATAGCAGTGGTAGCCCGCCGTTTATCGAGGGATAAAATGCGTCAATAAGATTTTTACACACCCCCGTAGTACAGAATGGTGCTTTCCTCTGATAGGTTCCCTCCTCCCCCCAGGACCGATGATAGTACCTTCCATGCTGCCGCTGGAAAAGGTAGCGCAAAAGTTGAGCGCGCCGAGAGGTTTCTCTTCTCCCGGAAGCAATTGTTCTCTAGAACCGGAAGCAGTTGCTCTTTCAAGGGAGGTGGGACTGGGCGGGTCAGGCCGCAGCGGCTGACGGCGGGGGTGGAGCCGGGTCCACTGCCGGGTGGAGGGGCCAGGCGAGTGTCCTTATCCTAGCAATTGGGGCTCGGGCCTGTAAGCCCGTTGGAGTCGCGGCGGCGAGAACGATTGGGCTGAGCGGAGGAAGACATGTTGCTCTTCGTGGAGGTGAGTGGACTTGGTAATGTCGTCCTGCTGTGAGAAGAGCAGGAGTGGAGGCGCCGGCCGGTCCCACCGCCATGTGACTTTCCAGGCCGTACACGCCGCGGAACCGGCAGATAGGCTGACACAGCACCTGGGCCGTGCAGGCCCGCGGCTCCACTGTGCGCTCTCACAATACTTTAGGAACCTGTGGGAAGTGAGGGCCGTAGTGGGGGAGAATTGAAGGTGGAGAATCCAGGCTTGTCTGGTGTGAGGTGCGAATCAGAGGAAGGGGAAAGTGTCCCATATGGTCATCCTAGAGGAGGAACACAGGCGGGGGGGGGGGACCGGGCGGGGGCGGGGGGAGCAGGGCGGGGGCGGAGTCTGCAGAGAAAAGGGTAATCAGGTGGGCGCGTTGGGCGGGGGGGCTGGTGGAGGAGCGAGGTCTCGCGGGGCCCTCTGGGAAGCAAGCAACATGTGGGGCCGCGGAGGAAGGAAGGTGAAATTCTGTTTAAGTGTGTTGAAGAGAAAGTTGAAAGCTGCTTTTTAGCAACCCCCACCAAATTTTGTTTGGTCCCCGTCCCTAAGTCTCTGGAACGTTCTGTGGGTGGAAAGCGAATTACTGTGAACGGAGGAGACGCCAATAGGCTTTGGAAGCCTTGAAAGGCACCACTTTGACCTTTTGTAAAAGTTACTCAGGCAGTGGCTCCGTGATGAGGGTTTGGCTTTATGGACGGATAAAAGCCCTTATACGAGGAAAATTCCAAGAATGAGAGAAACCTAGTCTGAGGAAAGCCGGGTTGTTTTTTGTTTTTTTAATATTACTTAACAGTAGAAGTACTTTTATTTTAACTGGAACGTGTGCTGCTGGCCTATTTTAATTTTAAAGGTAGTGGATATCTACCTTACACAAATACGAGGTTTAGTTTCTCTTATTTGTTTCTCTTGTGTGCAGTGAGCATCAGCTGACTGCCTGGCTAATGCTTTTAGTAGATTCCAGATCATATTGTTCTTGAATTGTGAAAACGTCAAACCAGCAAAGCTGCAACTTCGCAACTTGGCACTTGTTAACTATGCCCATAAAAAGAATCTTTTCAATGAGGGAAGGAATTTACAGGTTGTATAATGGATCGAGAAGCCAGGACCAGTCTATGGCAGGTTTTTTTTTCCCCCTCTCTCTAGGAGGGAGGGATGTATTTTACTCCGTAATACTCCGGCATAAAGTAAATACTGCTTTAATTTTTTTTTAATCTAACCGACAGTGTGTAGCTGATAAATTTGAGATCTTTAAATTGGGTTTTAAAGAAACCTAGCTACCTTAGAGTATGTCCGACATTGGTAATAAATATTCATTGGAACATTGCCAAGTGAATCATGAAAAGATTTGAGATTACTGACCCCATTCTGTTTACCGTTTTTTATCCTCGTTGTAGGTTTTTTTCGGCAGGATAAGAAATCAGATATGATTTTAAACAGTGCCAGTTTGTATTAGGAACGTTATGCCATGCACGTGCTTCATATTTTAAGTGTGATGTGTTTTGCTGGGCAAGAGGATGCGAAGTTTTATTCATATTAACATGAATTCCAAAATATACTTTTGAGTTCCAAATTGATTCCTTTGGCTTTGTTAAAATGTGAACTTTAATAATCGCTCCGTTTATTGAGTGTTTAAGCTAGATCCTCTCTTGTTTCTAAAACAACATTGCAGTGTTTTACAGATGAGAAAAACTGAGGTGGAGAGGTTAACTTAGAAGTAAAGTAGTGGAATTGGTATTTAGATATAGGTCATTCTAGTGCCAAATCATGGCTTTTATTAAACTGTTAATATTTCCACTAATCATTTTCTTTGTGAATCAGTATGTGGTTTTTAACTTTTCTCCTATAATGAGTTACTGAAAATTAACAATGTCACTAAACATTTGGGGCTGAATATATGGTATTAAAATCAGTTAAAAAAAAAAGTAACACACTGGTTATGTGGCATTTTGTTAGCTAATATTTGATCCTTAGAACTATAGGAATAACCTATAGGATTTATTTAATTTTTTTAAGATTTTATTTATTTGACAGAGACACGGCAAGAGAGGGAACACAAACGGGGAGTGGGAGAGGGAGAAGCAGGCTTACCCCCTAGCAGAGAGCCCAGTGTGGGGCTGGATCCCAGGACCCTGGGACCATGACCTGAGCCGAAGGCAGACGCTTAACAACTGAGCCACCCAGGCGCCTCTAACCTATAGGATTTAGAAATTATTCTAAATGAGTGAACCAAAGCTCATGGTTTGATGCCTGAGGTCATTCAGGTGCAAATAATGTGGGGACTAAAGTCTGAAGTCTGGCGTGTAGAACACAAGTCTCTGGCTCCAGAACTTATTTTTGCACTTTCCCCTAAGCTAAGAATTCTTAATCTGGGTCTCTGGTTAGAATTGACGAAGTCTGTGAACTTCATTGAGGGAAAAAAAAATTGCCTCTTTATTCTGACTAGCTTCTAATTAAAATCTAGAATTGAAGAGAATTGAAAATTCTTGAAATTGCAATGGATTCAACAAGAGAAATTTTTTCATATATTACAGTTTTTGCAGTTATCTTGAAATACTGTTAATGTTCATTATACCTTGTTATATGTTTAAAAATCTTGTTATTTAATGCATTAGAAAAGCACATTTATTACTAAAGTAGAAATTTAAAAATATTTTGATAACTATAATTGGTTTATTTTGTGATCCTGTGCATTTCAAAATTTAAAAACATTCTGAGGGGCGCCTGGGTGGCTCAGTCGTTAAGCCACCTAAGACCTTTGGCTCAGGTCATGATCCCGGGGTCCTGGGATCAAGCCCCGCCTCAGGCTCCCTGCTGAGCAGGAAGCCTGCTTCTCCCTCTTCCACTCCCCCTGCTTGTGTTCCCTCTCTTGCTGTCTCTCTCTCTGTCAAATAAATTTAAAAAATCTAAATAAAAAATTAAAAAAACATTCTGAGAAGAGATCTATAGATTAGTTAGACTGCTAAAGCGGTCCATGGCACAAGAGAGGTTAACCACTTTGCTGTAAACCAAGTTGATTGTGAATCATCTTTGGTAGGACTTCTCTAATATGGAATCTGGGCCCTTTGCAGTTGTGTTCAAAATCTTTTTCTTGTGTGCATTTTTCTGGAAAGACCCCAGCTTTTAGTTTATAACTGGAATCAGTGGGATAGATAATAGTAATGATAATGATACCATAATAATTGTGATATACACATATATTGTACTTACCTGTGCATGAGGCCTATTAAGTGTTTTTGCATGTGAACATATATATACATCTACCCAGTCCTACCTACGAGGTAGACGAGGTAGGTAGAATTATTATCTCCAGTTTAGAGATAAACTACGCCACAGAATTTAAGAAACTTGCCCAAGATTATACAGCTAGTGAATATTGAAGCTGGAATTAGAACTCTGCTGTCTAGCTATACTGCAATAGAAATCTACAGGCAGACAGGGAATCCTGTTTTAAGTAATACTTAGAGGTAACTTTGGGGCGCCTGGGTGGCTCAGTTGGTTAAGCAACTGCCTTTGGCTCAGGTCATGATCCTGGAGTCCTGGGATTGAGTCCCACATCAGGCTCCCTGCTCAGCGGGGAGTCTGCTTCTCCCTCTGACCCTCCCCCCTCATGTGCTCTCTCTCTCTCTCATTCTCTCTCTCTCAAATAAATAAATAAATAAACTACTTAGAGGTAACTTTTT